CTCCCATGCTGCCACTCTTCGGAGAAGATGCGAAGAGGAGAAAAACTTACAACTGCCCCACTTAAATACCCTTTCTCATAATTGGAGTCACTTGTGTATGGAGGTCAAGGGTCACTGAACTTACCAAACCTAATTTAAGTTCCAATAATTAGTTCTAAAGGTTTTGAAATCAATAAAATGACAACAGTGCCCAAATTTATGCACTTGCCTAATTGTGTTTAACCAATATTTCACACTTTCTGTAAATCATATAACATTTCACTTCTCAAATACCACTGTGTTTGTCCCCTATATGATATATTTAACTGATTTTTTATCTAAACAATCAATGATTTATAAACAGGTAAATCAGGAAAATTAACAAGGCTGCCCAAACTTTCACACCCCTCTGTATGCTCCTGCTCTCAAACTGAAAATATACGCTCTTGATTAAGTCAGCAAAATGTCTGCCATATGGATTGTTTCATGTTGTCTAAGACTGTGAGAGATGTTATTGTATGATTTATGATAGTTTTGTGAAGGAAAGAGTCAGGTTTATTGTTATTTTAAGTGGCTTTTATGTCACCATGTATTGTGAAGTGAAGCACAGGCTCATTTTCACCACCGGGAGGTGCTAAAGCTAACAGTTGTCAGAATTAACATTCAAGCTGTGTTTACAGTTTTTGATTTAGAGGTTTTATACCTAGTGTGTTATATTATTGAGTCGTTTAACAGAAGGATAGACAGTGTTTTATTGTTATACATCGTTTTATTTGTTCATGATTGCAATAAACTCACTGCTTGAAGAAGCATTGCTGACATTCACTCTCGTGATTCTTTCCACCCTAACTCAAGGGTGCAACATAGAGACCCCAACTGAATGATTTAATGTGAAAAAGGATTTAAAAGCATGATATGTCTCCTTTAAGGTGCATAAAAAACAGCAGGAACAGGCTGATGGCCTGAGCAACAGCTTAAAGACTTTTACTCAAGTAATATTCTTAGAGAAGAGTTTAACTTTTACCACAGTAATTTTATGGTAAGATACTTGTACATTTACTTAAGTATCACTTTGAGGCACTTTATAAAACACTGATAAGTGTTTCTACAAAAACATATGTGTTTTCTGGATGGTGTTGTGTGAGCAGGTGAGTCAGGTGATGCTGGGGCTGATGATCATATCCTACTCCATTCCTCTGCACTTCACTGAGTTCACTGATGTCATCAACTTCGGTGTGCCCTGGTGGACCGGCCTGATGGTGAGTTTCTGAAACTATGAACAAACGAGCCTCAGTTTCTGAAAATACTGGAGATTAAACTCTGATCACAGTTTATTGTATGGCACCACAGCACAGAAGAGAATTGGCACAACCAGCTACTGGTTGACCAAACTATAACTCAATATAACACAGTCTTATGTGATCCCGACAATTAACTACAATCAATAAAAACACAAGCAGTTATTCCCAAAACCCTTTAATTCTGTCATGTATGGGATTTTTTATAAACTCATGATAATTATGCATGGAACAGATAAACAAAAAAATTTACTTTTTTTCATCGATAGCTGTGGTGACCATCTTATATTGTTTCTGAGACGTAAAATAAATTTGAAGCTGAATTTGTTTGTTGTTTTTACAGATAATACATATAACTTGATACTAACACATTAACTCTGTGATATTTTAATACAAACGAAAACCAATGCGAAGTAATTCATGTGAGTTGACCTGCTGTACAGATAAATAATAAAATCTGTTTTGATTGTTAATGAAATGTTTGCTGAGTTAAATGAATGTATGAAGCTTCTCTGTTGTGTGTTTTCAGTTCATCACAGCAGGAGTGGTCGCCATCATCCTGGACAAAAACTGCACCTTAAAGTTTGTGAGTACACCCCCAGCTGACTCGTCATTGTGTTTAAATGTGTTCTTATTTACTGTGTGAAGTCTGCTTTCATTTTGTTTTCCTGAATACCATCACTGGAGTTCAGGATCAAAACTCTGATTATAACTCACACGTGAACAGTTCAGGGGTCTCATTTATAAAGGATTGCGTGGAAACCATACTAAAAGTGAACGTACGGCCAAAAGGCAGAAATGGCGTATGCCAAAAAAAATTCAGATTTATAAAACAGTGCGTACGCATGTTTCTGCGCACCTTTTCTTTATAAATCACAGCCGCACGTCAGAGTTTGCGCACGAGGTCCCGCCTCAGGTTCTACCCTCTACACGCCCACATTCAACCATAAACAGTCAATGTAAAGTACCTGATGAATGTTAAGATGTATTTAAATCAGTCAGATGATCAATGCCAACAAAAGTGATTGGTTCAGACGCTCCGTCGTGTGTATGGAGGATGACAGGTGCTGACTGACAGCTGCTCACGTGAACAGAATGTCTGTAATTGACACAGATTTTCCCTCATTTTGCTTTAGTGTAATCTAATGATTTTTATTTTAAAAAATCTCAGCTTCAAATTAATTTTCTCTCAGAGCCTGCAGGACGATAAAAACAACACAATACAAACACGAACTTTAAACATGATTTTATAACATCCACACTGGCGAGGTGGATGCGCCATCTGTTAGTGTAAAGTGCTTTGGGGTCTGGAGGGACTTGAAAAGCTCTCTATAAGTTCAGTACCATTTACCATTTACCATGCGCGTGTATCCAAAGCTTGACTTTTGCTGTCCTGCTGTTCTTGTCGGGGAGGGGTCTGTGGGTCAGGGTCGTCTGAGGAGGAAGCAGATGAAGGGAGTTGTGCACGGGAACTTTTGTTTAAGATTTAAGATTTTTTTATTTCAAAGGTCCTCATGGCTCAGTAGCAGAAGCATAAATATTACTGTTAAGAAAGCTGATGATAAAGTTGAATAAAAATCTATGTCTGATGAAGGTAAATTAAATATCTGACAGTGGCCATTATACAGTGTGGCTATAATTTCTCACTTCACCATCTGTGTCGCAGTTTCACGTCTCCAAAATGAGCGTACGCATGGATCAGAGCTGGCGTGAGGCGTTTCTGGGCTCAAATTGTGCGTGCGCCAGTTTTATAAATCCGACCCCAGGTCTTCTACTGTACTTTTTAGTGAAGATTTAGATTTTGTCATGCAAGATTACAAAAGGAAGATGTTAAAATTATTTTTGTACATTTTAAATTTTTCTTGCAGTTTTTTTAATCGTTTATCACACTTGTTTTTTTACTTTACTATCCAGGCTGGGAATATTATTTCAACACAATTTATTTTAATAGCATCAATTTACAACAAGTGTTCTCAGTTCTCTGTACAGAAACATACAGGTGCACTGTAAAATACAGACTAGTAGAAGTTATGGTACCACTTTGCAATAAGGCTCCCCTTATAGATGGCTTTTAAAGAGTTTATAGATAGGTTCTTAATTCATCTGTAAACACTTTAAAAATTATTAATAAGTGGTTTTTATTCATTAATTAAGGCAAAAAAAGAGACTAAACTGTCCAGTTTCTTTCTAAATACTGAGCCAAATCTGTTTGAGTATTAAACATTTCAGACTAGTTCACTACCTTGTTGCACAATAATGATTAGGAAACACATATTGTAACATATAATATTGTACTGTATTACTGCTGTAGAGGTTTTGGGTATATTCTAAAATGGATAATTTGTGAATTATTTAAACACACAAATTATCTTACCTCGAGGCACCACGCTCTTAATTTGATCAAGGATTAACCCAGGAAAGAGACAAAAACCTGTAACTTTATTGTAATCAGTCTCACAATAAATGTACCCAAAATGGTTTGATGACTTCTTGTCGTATCAGAACCAATAATACTTTATCAAGACACAAAAGTGACATTAGCTTATGTTGGCATGTTCTCCACGGGCCATTTATTTACAGATTAAATGTATTTACAACTATGGTGAGTAATGAGTGATGACATAATTGAACCATGTAGAAACAGAAAGAGTTTGCAATCACAAGTAAATAACGACAAAACAAACAAACAAATAAACAAACAACAAATAAACATAAAATAAGCACTGAGAGGTGAGTTTGAGGCTTRGAGTGAGGTGAGGCGAGTTTGCTTTTAGCTGAGGATTTAACTAAGGGGGTCCTAGTTAAATTAGGGAGAAAAATCGTTTAGTTTACCAAATCTCAAACAAAGATAAGAATCAAATTACGTCTGAGCACCTGTGTGTCACCAGGACAAATGTTCACTTTTACCCTTTCGCTCCGCCGTGTGGGTACCAGGAGGGGAAGTCAGCGATTGAAGGTCATCTCTGGGGGTCGTCTCCCAGGTAGGCTCTTCATGTAAGCTGGATGTCAGGTGGTTTGCCTGATAAACTCGACTGGTCCCTTGGTCAGAGAAGGGGGTCACTCCCTGGTGACAACGTGGTCCGGTCCTCCGCAGGCGGCTGCAAGACTTCTTAATTTGATTTCAACTTTGTAGAGAAAACGAACTAAAAACGATGCATGAATTACAATTAGCTTATTGAACTTCTATAAAATCAAACTCAGATGTTGAGTCGATATTAAACGGTGACTGTACGTTAAACCAGCGGGAGATGCAGAAGGGCCACCATCCTGCCCAGCCCATGGGGAGGGGCTGGCAGGCAGGACCTCTGCTGAGCTTCTGGAAAACTGTTTCTGGCTTCTGATGTTGAAAAACTCTCAAAAGCTCTGTCTTCTTCCTCCTTTGTCTTCTGCTAAGAGATTGGGAGTGAGTTAAGCTTTTTTAAAACCTCTGTTATGGGA